AATTACTCTATTGCGAGAAAAGATATTAGCCTTTAAAAGTTTGACAAGACGTATGCAATAATTTCAATCACCGTACTGGTTGTTCGAAGCTAAGTCTCGCTCCTCCATTTTTAACTTAAATTAAAATATGGCTGAACTGTTCTAATCTATATAATATCGGAGAAATCCGATGCCATCGAGAGTTGATTATGGTCTGGATAAGGTAATTAATGTCTAATAAATAATTTAGATAACATTTATTTCTGAGACTTTGTTAAAATCGGGATAGTCCCTTTAAGATTCATGACATCGACAATATTATTTTTGACCCAGATCAAAGATGTCAAGCCATTTTAATTTTAAAGGAGCTAAATCGCTAATATTTGGGATCTAGAAATTGACACAAATGGGTCGGAACGCATATAATAATGTAATATGAATGTTTTATAAACTGATTTACATTCAATCATTTCTGTTTTTACTGTAATTTCTAATCAGTTATGTTCGGCGAAATACGCCAGAAGTCTCAATTGAAGATGTTATTCCAGTCTAAACCGATGGTATTTATTGCGCATGCTCTCCAGATAAGAATATAGTCTAAACCGATGGTATTTATTGGGCATGCTCTCCAGATAAGAATATAGCGTCACCATTTGACATGACCCTGTGGAATATGTCTAGCCTCGTTCTTTGAGTCCCTTGTTCCAAATGGCACTGAAACGCATTATGGTACACGATTCGTGTACCAATGGTAAAATGTTTATTTTGTCTTGAATATTGGATATCAGAAGCCCATCTTTTCCCTGTAAGATCATAAGACCAATGTTGATTTGAATTGACAAATAATTCGTGTTTTCAATGTCGAAGATTTTTGATGATATTGAGTTAGAGACTTAGCTACTTTAATCATTTTTATTGTGTAATATTCAGTCTTAAGAGACCCGATATTGATTAAAGTTCTCAAAAACATCTTACAAGTTAAAGAAATACCTTTATCCCCAGTAATAGGACTACATACAAATAATACCGTATTCAAAAATAAAACAGACTAATGTCGAAAACCCCAGCTCTTATCTGCAAACAGTAATAGATTTGTCACCATCTTAATGCGACTTGTATATTGACAGTTAAAATACATATATAAGTTTGTAGTATAATTTGAACGATGTACCTGAATAGTGAAATGAGTGGAAACCCCCCAAAATAGGTAGTCTTCCTTGCCTACAGTAAATAATTTTAATCAAAACGTAAGCCGAATAGAAAACTGAAATGTAAAAAGATAAATCAACCTTCAAGGATACAGGTAAAAAAAAACAAAAAAAAAACATCTCGATTTGCATATTTGTCTGAAAATTATTGGTTTGGTTCGCCATTTTCTCCGAAGTAAATCCAAATATTGCTTACCTTTTACATGTATATAATTCCTAAAATGTAAGATACAGTTCCAACCGAACATCCACAAATGACAAAGCGCGCACTGTTGAATGTTTACATTGTTGTCAAGGCAGAAGTGGAGTGAAATCTATACGGCAATTTTATTCCCTACAGGTTTATATTGAAAATTCGTTAACATATTAATTTTGCATGAAATAACCTTAAAGGAAATTGTTCCATTTGTAGAATCAATATTGATTAAACGTAATTATATTATACCTGTAGAATATACCTGTTCACGTATCCACCATATATGTATATATTACTGCAGTTGGTTACATATGAGTTGCCTTTGTAGCTGCACATTCGCCTACTTAATAATTTTATTATTATCCGGGCGCGTGCAATATGTAAGTTATATAACACTTCTCAGAGTTGTCAATACTAGTGTTGTGCATTGCAAATTAAGTCAACGGTGTCATTGAATATAACTACATGTATGCCAACAATATCGACTAGGGATGCCTGACTGTGCCATCGCCTGCTTGGTCCATGTGCCAAACAGGCGATGGCACAGCCAGACGTTCTTAGTCGAAAGTGTTTTCATAGTTATATTCAATATTTAGTGTAACTTTACCTTCACCTGCAATTCCCCAAATATACTAAGCAGCAAAAGAAACGTCAGATTGGTATGTTACTCTGAATAGACGCATTGCATAAAACATGCCAAATGTTTTTATTGTATATTTGTGACCACATCTCCAACTTTACCTGAGCAACAAGGCTCCTTCCCAAACACAGAATTGAACCCAGGAAATATTCTCAAAAACGCAACCTGACTTCTGAGATGGCAATGTGTTTTCTATAAAATGCACCCCATACCTGGTTAAATCATTCACACTACAACTTCAGCAGCATGCCACGAATCACAACAGCACCGACGAACCAGGCGCTTGGAAGACTCGACGCTGGCCACACTGCCCAAGCCGTTGCCAATCAACACCACGGATGATCGCCCCCGAACTGGTAGACCAAGGGTTACCACAAGGCGACAAGATCGCCATGTTGTGCGACAGCACGTGCAGAATCTCTTCACAGGCATCCGTGACAGCACGTCAGACAGTGGGAACACACGGAAGACCCATCAGTACCGATAGAGTGCGCCGACGTCTCACCAGAGAGAACATCCATTGTCGTAGACCTTACCGTCGACCGATCCTCACCATCGATGTGAACGTCTACAGTTTACCCAACAACACCAGAACTGGCGACACATGCAATGGAGATCTGTTCTGATGAACGCTTACTGAGGCTTCATACAGCATGTAAAATATACAATTTTTCCGATTGGATATTATTATTTTATTTCAAATAATATTAACACTTTGGGTAGGAAACGTAAGAACGAGTCGAATGTCGACGAGTGTAATTGTAAGCATCTCTTACAAATGAAACTGAAACTTCTATCAGGATTCAGATTCTGGATCATTACGGTACCTGAAATTAAGAATAGGCCTATTTAGGCGGGTGTAGATAACAATGCACCTAGAACAAATTGCAACAGAAATCATTTCTTTGGGAACTGTTCAGGTGTGGTCTCTAGCACTTCCATAACTAAAGCGGCCATTAGCGGTCTTGTGGAAATTTGCATAATTAACATAAATCAAAGATGGCCACCAGTGGACCAGAAAATCGCCTTTTTGCCAGTTTGATCATTTTTTCAAAGGCTTTGGTATTAAGAACTGGAAAAAAGACGATGGCCTGTATTAACAAGAAGTCATGACATATATACACTGTTAGAAATATTTTGGTTATTTTACCCTAAAATTACGGGCAGCAAAAGTTGCCCCTAAATCATAGGTAAAATTACACCATTAGTTATTTAACAATTTACTGTAGAAGGACATATCTGTTAATTTACATTTCTTGTAAAAATACATCACAATGTTAATTTACATTTCTTGTAAAAATACATCACACTGTTAATTTACACTTTTGTTAAAAATACTAATATTGGTAATTTTACATGCAAGATTCGAGCAATAGCCCCGGTGTAAAATATTTCGTATTAATATCACTTCAATATATATTGAATATCGATAATCCTGTTTGGTAGACGAGGGCATGGTTCCAGGCTTTCAGATGTAAGCTCGCGGTACTATCTATTTGCAGGCATTACAACCCTGCTTTACAGACAGTCCGGCCCAACTAACACTGGCCAATCGGTTTAATTTACCGTCTTCAAGTGAACTTGAAAACGAGATAATACATGAAAATGCATTTAAGAAAATACTTACAAACTGATTAACGTACGCTAAATATCAATACACTTTATAGATCTTATAAATAATGGAAACTAGATATACATGACATGCAATATACTAAATTTACAAGATGTGATTGTCCATGTTATGGTTAATAAATTGAAATGAATACCATAAGAAGATACTTATTAGGAATGTTTCGTTTCTATGGAATACTAAAATACAATAAGAGATAGAAATTTACCGAATAAGTAAATTTACTGAATAAGTAAATTTACAAAATAACGTGAATAAACGTAAGTCTGTAAAATGACATGTTGGCTATGTTATTTTCCGTTCAATATTTTAAGGTAAAAATAAATTCTTTAACTGCTGTAATTTTACTTATATTTCTTACCTAAAAGTAAATTACATAATAATGTGAACAAACGTAAAATCTGTAAAGTAACACGCTTGCTGCGTTACTTTCAGTTCAATTTTATTACATTATATGTATTTTTACAGGATTTTGAATATGTCCTTGATTCCATCGCCACTTATTGTCGAAAAGACATGAAACTCGATAAACATACTTGAAACTCGGTAAAAATACATTAGATTTGGTAAAAGTAGTTGTCGTAACATCATTTGCTATTTGGTTGTGGACTTCAACGGTCACTGTTAATTGGTTGTGTGTTGAGAAATGTTAACAAAAATATTTCAAGGTTTGCTTTCATTACTATTGAATAAAACATTTCTGTGATTTCAACATTTTACGACAACCAATTTGGGCTACGGTACATCTTCCTATAGTTTGAATACACTGAACATTACTGTATTTTGACGTTACGTATGTAAAAATAAATTATTTCACGGTAAAATCACCTGTATAATATGTTTTTTTTACGACTATTTGTACTATCACTCCTGTTTGGTGTAATAAAACATACATTTGTAAAATAACATACAACTACGTAAATATTTTACCACATTCTTACGGTAAATTAACATTTATTTCTAACAGTGTATAGACATTAAAATGGATATTTATAAGAATTTCTTTTTATAAGGTAAAGGCCACGTTGTAATGGAGGTTTTACGTGGTACTGGGCTAAAGATGGTGCGAATACCCTATAATGTGCTATTAGATAAATGTTGCCGGTGCAACGGCACAACGACACGCTATTGTTTCGAATGTCAACTGTCAATGTTTCTTTCACGTGCACGCCAGTGACTTTCAGGTTTTTATTCTAACCGAACGACTAGACCCAAACCCAAGTCAGTTCAGGTGTCCTGCCCCACTAGCAAGGGGAAATCTATTTTGAAGAACTTTATCGTCCAACACAGCGTCTTACTGAGAGAGAGGCGAGGGTGGCCACTTGTTTTTATCCGTTGTAAAGTCTTTACCTTTGCTGCGGCGCATATCGTTCCCCAAAGTTAGGAGTATTCCAATTTTCGACTGTAATATAAAAAATAGTGGAGATTCGTTAAACAATTTTAATGGTTTGTTTGTCCAAGATTTATTACCAATGATATAAGGCAATACGCAGGTGTTTCTCTTTTGTTATTTTTTTTTTGGGGGGGGGGGGGGGGGTCATAAAAGAATTTGCATAACTAATTCCGATTCTCATGTGTATTTAGTTTTGTTGAAAAGTAAAACAAATAAGATGAATAATTATTACTGACCTTCTGTAGTTCGTGTAGGACATTTATAGCATCCCAAACATAACTACCCCCTCGAAACCCTGAAGAAACTTGTTCTTTAATAGGGAATGCGAGTTCCCTATGATGTTGAAGTGCTAAAGGAAATATATACCGTAAGTTATTGTTTTGTGAAGTTTGTGATTTATATAATGACAATTATATCAAATAAGCTTATGTACCACACCTCTTGAAAATTAATGTTTTTTTGTAAGATATGCAGTTAGATAATATTGTTATGCATCACAATGTGAATTGTTTGTTATTTGTTGTAACTTCCATACTCATGCCTGTACATGTAGTTGAGAATTATTATTATTATTTCAATTTATTTTTTTACATAGTCTATATTATTTATGGAAATATGTGTGCATATCAATTAGAAATACTAAACAACTAATGTTTGTACATTAACATAAAAATCATGAGTATGAAGATCTAATTTGTCAAATAAGTATAAAGTGTATTCTTGCAGTTCCATAGGCCTATAATATTATATAGACAGTATAATTTCTTGCAATTCAACTTCAAGCCAAGGGGTCATATTAAAATTATAAACAAAGTTTTAGCCTACCTCTTGTGATTTTGCCATTCTGTATAACCTTGTAAATAATCTGGAAGATAATAAAGGGAAAATCTATTGAAATCCGTCATTATGTATTTTTCTTTTTTATTATTAGTACGATAGCCTATTACAAAAGATTTATACTATACATGTGGTAGCCTACGTAGTGCGGTGGTGGCATGCAGCACAAACTCTTATCTTAATTTTTTATTTCGCACAAATAATCTTGCTTAATAAAATTGAAAAGGTGGGCCGTGTTTTACGAGTTTGAAAAAATGTCGAGCTGGTCAGGGTTGGGGTAGTAGTATGATTCATAAACAACAGTGGTCGTGTGGAATTTTGCACATGAAATGATGAAAATGATTCAGCAGATTTTAGATAACGGCCGAACGGGTCATTTGCCAATGCAATGGCAATGCCGCAATGTGAATGTATTTAGTTCTTATGATGGTACCGTAATCCCAACAATAATCCAGTACGAAATGCGAACATATTCACTTTTTTGTAGGCATATTTAACGACGGAATGGCTTTACTATGGCGAAAATAGTCAATGCATCGAATTACCCTCAGAAAAATTGTCGGATAGAACTTCGACCAAATTTCAAATGAATGTTTTCAACGGCGGAGTGGGGGAGAGAACTCCCCCACACCACCTAGTGGCACTCGGTCAAGTAGACCTTTTGTAAAAGCCGAGTGACACTCAAAAGCATTGAAGAAAATGATAAATTTACCTTATTAAGCACCTTGGTCTGATCATAGATAATACCGTACGTTATTATCTATGGTCTGATGAACAATTTTGCTGAGTCCACAACAATACTTGCATCGGCTAGGCCCATTCTTTTTGGTATCCGGAGACTTATCAGCCATATTCATATAAATATAAGCTCACGTTACAGTGCAAGTCTGTGTAGGCATATTAGTTTCTTTATAAATCGAAACAAGGTGCTATCCATTATTAAAATTACCGTTAATTATCTTGACAAACGATAGTTTCTGGTACATTATAAGACCCTAGATTTCAACCTCTTTTAGTCTGTGGTAATACATGTAGGCTAGTCATATTAATTATAAGATGTAAAAGAAAATACATTTAAGATATGACATTTACTTAGAATGAATTTAATGATTTTATAAATATACTAAATTTATGACTGAGTTTGCAAGCGAGGCTACGGTATTAATGCAACATTCTATTTATTTTACGCCACAAATAAAGAAGGGCCGGGGATCGCGTTGATAAGTGGGTAAGACGCTGACTCGATCGCTAGCCTGAAGGTCGGGTGTTCGATCCCTGCATTTGCCGAGAAAGTTCATCCTGATTTTCCGGCGTGGTTTCCCCTTGTACGTGATGCAGGACGGAGGGCCTGATAAGGACAGCTGTCTAGTCGTTCGGATGGGACGAAAAACCGAGGTCCCGTGTACACATTTGTGTGTACGTAAAAGATCCCTTGGCAGTTGGAATTCGACATAAGAGTAGGCCGTAGCGCCGCTGCCCGGGCAAAATTTCCCTCATAGCACACTGTATGGCCTAGGCCTAGGCCTATGCCCGTCTTCATTAGCCCAGTTTAGGAGCAGAACAGTTGGACGTTAAAGTTTTTTAAACCCCATTTCATTTCATTTATGTAAAAAAATATATATATTATATAGGGTATATATTTATATACAATTGTCATTGACCTTTGTATAAAGTCATTTTGATATTTCAGATAACTTTCGTAAACTACACTTTATCAGATCTTTTCTCATTATTCCCTTAGACAGGATGCAAATATGGGATGGGATGGGTAAACATAACGGAGAGAAATTGTATATATTCTTTCAAAGTTCTGTTTAAAATTACTGCCCGAGTGTAGCCTAAAGCAAATCACAAAATAGCCTATAATTGGTACGACATTGGCCGGGAAAGTTCATCGTTAGTTTCCGGTGTGGTTTCCCGCTATCAGTGGTGCAGGACGGGGGGGGGGGGGGTGACAACTGACAAGTAAAGCTGTCTAGTCGTTCGGGAGGGACGGAAAACAGGGGTCCCTGTATACATTGACGTGCACATAGAAATCCCTTGGCATTTGGAATTCGATATAAGAGTAGACCATAATGCGGCTGCCCGGGCACGGGCACTGCACGGGCAAAAAATTCCTCTTATGACACACTGCATGGCGTATGCCCATCTTCATAACGTCAGTAGTAGAATAGTAGGACCTTAAATACAATTGCATTATGATTTGGTCGGCAGGACCTACGACATTCGCATACCGGCATAAAATTATAACGTTGTTTTCAATTTATTGTGTTAATAATAATTTCCGGGCAGACAGGGGCTTAAAGTGTCTTAAAATTTGTCGTAATTTTTTATCTATTTAATTATTACAGGAACATTTCATTAAATGACCTTAATTTATAAGTTTTATTTTCATGAAATGCTCCTTAAATAATAAATTACAATAAGAAGAGTACACAACGACGTGTAAAATTTTAATTTTATTTAAAATGTCGATTTAATCTTTACAAAAATAATATACAGTTTCCATACATTTCAATTAACGCAACATTCCATTAATTATTAAGTAAGTAAAGACGATAGGCCTATTTATAGAACAGACGATTATAAATAGATACCGCAAGTCACGTGATGCGCACTACTCTTACGTACTTTGAAACTCGGCCATGATTAATACAATTGCACCGGAAAATCGCTGAAATCTCCGAATCGGTGGACTTAAGTGTAAATAAATGTATTAACGACCTATAGGAAATTGATACTCGCGAGTTCAAAAATGGCAACATTTTTATCTACGACCTTATTATGACGTCGTAACGTCATTTTGATGGAATTACGTCGTTCTCATTGTGACGTCATTATCAAATTGTATTGTAACTGCGCTCGGAAAACTGTTGGAAACCACGAACCGCTGTACAAGAACACACCTTCACCCAAACTGAAGTGTACATCATTTTTCATCCATAGCTGGGAGACACGGTGACTCAGTGAATAAGACGTTGGCTCGCTTACCAGGGGGGTCAGTGTTTGATCCCTGCGTTGGCCGAGAAAGTTCATCGGGATTTTACGGCGTGGTACCCCTTGTCAGTGGTGCAGGACAGAAGACTTGGCAAGGGACAACGTATAGTCGATTTTCGGTACATTTCGCTTGCATAATCGCTCAGTGTTTGAGGAATTTAAAAAATTATTTATCCTTCCACCACTGAAAGACAATGATTACGAGATATATCGCTCTCCGAACATTCCTGAATTATGTTGATTACGTCATTTTGCCTTGGCCGAATTCGGCCGATTTTGAGTATGATATATTTACCATTGAACCAAACTGCATTGGTGCCATTTGTTTAACGTAAAACGTTATCTCTCCCCACCTATATAATACTGCATGAAGTAAATAAAACGTTTTGTAATGTTAAGTAAAGCTGTATGACGCCATATATAGGGCTTTGGTTACGATAAGGTCGTAGGAAAGAAATGTCGGCATTTTTGAACTCGCGGTAATAGGCCCTACATTTAGTTGCACTAAAGCCAATCGTTTCGGAGATTTCGTCGAATGTCTGGTCCACCCATGGCGGCCATCTTGGAATTATGTTAATTATGCAAATTTCCCCCAAGACCGATAATGGCCGCTTTTGTTATGGGAGACCATAACTGAACAGACTATGGGAGACTGAACAGTTCCCGAAGAAATGATTCTGTTTGTTCTAGATCCCCATTCTATTGTTATCCCCACAACAACTACTATGAAGCCAAAAATTTCATATGACGTCATGAAAATATGACGTCAAGTGTACAAAGACGCCATCTTGGGTCCCAAGTATTAATTGTACCTACTCACTATCTATTTTATGTCCTATCATAGTCATACTGTTGTGTCGAAGTTGGCTGACCCCGACAGGGCTGTAAACAGATATGTCATAGAATTCCACGAAAAAGAGTCTATAGGAAATAAAACATACATTTTTAAAACGAAAAGTATAGTGAACAAACTATTATTATTATTATTAAACAAAAAGCGCACATTATTGTTTTAATAATATAGTCTAATTCATAAGAAAATGAAATAAAAGATACACCAGATAAAAGCACTATTAAATATACTCTTCAAAAAAAAGTAGGGGATATTGAAATGCAAATACCTATGCAGGTTGTGATATGATAAATAGTCATGGACACTTGACATGCTTTGAGAGTATGTTCACAGATGAAGAACTTATCGCCCCAACAGAACCACTGAGCTGCACGTGCGCAACGCAATAGCGCCATACACGTGGGAGAGGTTTATTGTCAAATTTGACACTTCAAGGAAGGGTGGATGAAAACTGCCGCGTGCTGGTTTATCCTATCCATGTTTGCTTCCTATCGGTTCTTGCATAAGATTTACTGTTGAGCATATCTTTGCTTTAGTGTGTTACGTTTAATTTGCAATGAGACGTCTTCAACATGATGAACGTCTACGTGCTATTGGCATGCTTCAAATGGGTTCTACACAGCTAGCAGTAGCCAACATGCTTAATGTGTCACAGTCTGTGATGAGCAGACTGTAGAACCGGTACCAACAAACACACAATGATGATGATATATAGACCTCGTTCAAGTCGTTCTAGAGCCACTACACAAGCCCAGGATCGATACATTCGTACACAGTTCCTGCAAAATCGAGGACAAACGGCCAATCAGCTTTCTGTAAACTTGTACCAAGTTACAGGAAATAGAGTTACACCCCAAATGATTAGAAATCGGCTACATGCAGCCAATTTGCATACGCGACGACCGCGTGTTGTATGGAAGGATAACGTTGCCAATATTATTTCATTGTTCACGGTGCAAACTGCAAATGTCAGTAGTTCACAATACGTATTTTAGTTTTACAATTTACAATTTCCATTGCTCAACAATACCAATGTCACGGTGTTAAGAGAGAGAGAGAGAAATAGGGTTTAACGTCCACTCGACACAAACTAGGTCATTTCGGGACTAACATATGGTTTAATTTTATTTCAATAATTCGCTTGCGCGTAGGGGTCTTTAGCAGTGGGAGGAAAC